GATCAGTTTACCACTATGCACATCAATAATTGCCTTGGCGGTGGCGAGAAATGGTCTACCCAAAATCAAAGGCACATCCACATCCTCATTTATATCCAGAATAACAAAATCAACAGGATATGTGAATGCGCCTACTTTAACAAGCAGATCCTCGATGATACCCCTAGGATGCACAATGGAACGGTCAGCGAGCTGAATGCTCATCCTAGTAGGGCTAAGTTCACCTAAGTCTAGCTTTTTGAACAACTTATATGGCATGATATTTATGCTAGCGCCTAGGTCCGCCAAGGACTTGCCTACATGCATGCTGCCAATAGTAAGATGGATAGTAAAACTCCCTAGGTCCTTGCGCTTTTCGGGCAGCTTGTTCTGCAGGATAGCAGAACACTCCTCGCTCAGCAGCACTGTCGAAAGATCCCCAAGTGTCTTCTTTTTAATGAGGATATCCTTCATGAACTTGGCGTACTTGGGCATCTTCGGCAGTGCCTCCACAAACAGTATGCTGATGTTGAGCTGCTTCAACATTGCCATAACCTTGGCAAACTCAGTCTCCAGCTTGTCTTTGTGTAGTCGAGTGGGGAAGGGAAGCTGGGGTACATGCTCCTTAACCACTGGTTGTGGCTTGGGAGCAGGGACTTCCTTCTCCACCCTCATTTCTGCATCGTCGGCTAGATGTGCTGAAGCAGGTAGTGGTTCCTCCTGCCTGGCCGGGGCAGGTACAGCAGATGTTGTCTTGCCACTCCTGGTAAAGATGGCATGCATCCAGCTGCTGGTGAGGCTCGCGAGGATTAGGGATGGTGGTGGCAGGCAGAGTTCCCGGTGCCCTGGTATTATTCTGGCGGGCTATTCCTCCAATCTGATGCTGGGGGTCCTGCAATATGGCTCCTTAGCTCCTCTGAACCGCCTCCAGCGAGGCGATGCTTTGGTCTATCCTGGTAAAATTTGCCTGGTTGGTAGTCATGAATGCCGCCAAAATGTTTTTCAGCTCCGCCATCTAATTATCTGGATCTGGAGCTAGAGCTGCTGCTGGCTCGACATAATGGCGTTACGGCTTCTGGAACAGCTGCCCCTGCCTGAGCTGGTAAGGCTGCTGCTGTGGAACTGGCCCCTGTCTAGCCTGGAAAGGCTGTCTCTGCTGAAAACCACCCGCTGGTACCGGGAAACCAAGTGGTTTAGTGGTGTTGCTGTTCCAAGCGAAGTTAGGATGATGGCGCCACCCCTCATTGTATGTATTGATGTATGGGTCAAGGCGGCGAGCATTAGCGATGAAGTCCACCGCTCTTAGGGAGTAGAAGACTCCCGCATCGCCTGGCAGTCTTCCACCAGATGATTCGGGCTCTCACACCACTGACATTGAGCTACTGGAGGTACAACCAAACCTCTGCTCGGAATAAGACTGTTGGGCTGCTTCAATGTCTGCACTAACTCATCCACCTCTCGCTCTAGCCCAGACCTGGCCTCCATGCCGTGCACACCACGGTCCCGGGAATTCCTGCCTCTGGTGCTCTGCCCCCAAGAATGATCTCTAGCAGCCAAAGTACTGATCATCTGGTTCAGTTCGGGTGGAGTCTTAGTAAGAATATCCCCTCCTGGGCATAGAGACTCAATCACCCTCTGGCTTTCCAGAGAGAGAGCACTGTACAAGTTCCCCACGGTGAATGCATCACTGAAGCCATGATGGGGACACTGCCAGAAAAATCCCATGTATCGCTCCCATGCATCACGAAGTGACTCATCTGGCTCTTGGCGGAAGTGAGTGATCTCCCGCTGAATCTCTGTGGTCTTCGATGCCGGATAGTACCTGTGCACGAACTTGTTAGCCAGATCGTCCCAAGAAGTGATGGACAATGGGGGCTGGGTCTCCAACCACCTCTTAGCATGCCCCGCCAGAGAATGGGGGAAGAGGTGAAGGCGGATTGCATCATCAGGGACACCGTTCATCTTGAACCCGTTCGTCAGCTGCAGGAAACGGGAAAGATGCACCCTTGCCTCCTCATCCTTCAAGCCACGAAACTGGATAGAGGATGTAATGAGTTGAATCCAGCATGGCTTGATCTCGAAATTATTCGCTGGAATGGGCGGATAGAGGATGACAGGGCGGATATTGGCGACCCGTGGAGTGTAGTAGTACTCCAAGGTGGGACCCGGCGGCGGTGGTGGATGCTGAACCCCGTTTGCCTGGGGTATGGGGTTTTTCCCCAAGATCTGATTCACCGGGGGAACCTGGATAGTTATCCCCTGGGGTGGGTTGTGTTCACCTTCCATCTCGTACTCTTCCTCAGAATCGCTGCTCAAGTGGCCGTTTATGCGCTCCTCCGTAGCTAGTCTAGCTCGATGTTGTCTCCTAAGCTGGCGACAGGTGAGTTCAGCTCCGGATCCAACGGTCGTAAACCTCCCGACTGGCTACGGGTCATGCACTATCTGCACACAGTCAAGCAGCAAACTCGTGAAGGCACAAGTGTGACAAAGCAAACAATGCGAAAAGGAAAAGCTAGATTAACAGAATTCACGTTTCTTCAACAACCTAGCCGTCCCCGGCAACGACGCCAAAAACTTGACTCACTCCTACCGTCACTCTAGAAAATATCCAACCACCTCCTAAAGCGTAGCATAGCGGGTTTGGGTTTTATTGTCAACCCGAGTCCTAGATGTGTTGACTACTCAGTGAGTTCTTATTATCTAGCGGTGAAACTTTAGTGCTGGTCCAACCAAGCAAACAAGCAAAGCATGTAAAATGGGTTGTTTCCAAGTCGAGAGAGGTCACCCGGATATGGTTCCCCCTAGACTGCAGTTAAGCCGGATTGTAATTTACCAAGTTCAATTTCAATGATAGTTATACTGCGGGAGGTTCTTAAACAGTCTGAAGTCTCGACTAAAGGTCTCCAGACCCTCTCAATATGAGTCCCCAGCGGGCGACTAACCTCCACTACCGAAGAAAATTCGATACAGAATAGTGAATTGACTCCTCGACTAAAGTCGTCAATTCACCACCTTCAATCAAGGATGCTCTATCAACCTAGGCAGATATTCTCATTCTAGGTCAAAGCAAAAATAACAGGAATTTGATCAGGATTCATGCCATTCAACAATTCAAACCTCAATTGAATATAATCAAATCATAGAATCTGTACTTGGGTTCATACAATCAGACCTAACATACAAATCTAGGGTTCTTCATACCCAGGTGAATAGGAAAGTTACTCCATAAAGAGAGATGGGAAATCTAGCTCAGATGCGGAAATCATACTGTGAAGGATGATGATCTGCTTCTGGCACTCAATCGGATCTTCTCCAAGCTCAAGCCGGGCTCCAATGGTGATGGAGATCGATCTAGGACACTTGCAGAATCAGGTTCGTCACTTTCTCTCTTTAGGTCGCACTTTTTCTCTCTAAAACTCGGAACCCTTCAGTTTTGGTCTTCTTTTCCCTTAAGAAGCTGTATGTCGCGATCCCCGGCCTGAATACCCGGTCGGGTATTTTGGGTAGAGGCCAAGAATCCCCGACCGGGGATTTATGGTTCACAGCGGGCCGCCCTTCTATTTCTCAGACACCAAAAACACTTTTCCCCGGACTGCTCCCAATAATACCCGGCCGGGTATTTCTGCTCATGGCCGGGTATTTTGCTCCTCCAGCGCACTTCGCCCCAATCAACCCGAAACTCGTTTCTTCGCCTCGATTTCAACGCCAAGCCCTGAAAACATAAACGCACAACCTAGCGTGAAATCGGCTTAAAACACGAGAATCAACATCTCAAACGGCTTAAGAATAGGGGTAAAAACATGTGTAATCAATGGTCTATCACGATGCTAACCAGAATTAATTCCCCAGGAAATCACAACACTAGGTTAGCATTAATTCCCTAGGAAATCGCAACCCTCCAACAAACCTCCCCAACCAAATTCTCCAGAAAATCCATATATTGTCACCGATCCGACTCCTCCACCACCCAGAGCACGAGCTCGCTAACTCTTGCCTCCACCGTCCTCGGAGATATGAAATTCCGCCGCCTTCGTTCTCTCGCATCTCTTATCGCCGTGTTCGTCGTTCTTCGATAATGCTAGCTCTCTTTAACTGACGTTGCCGCAGTCCTCGGGAGATCTGAAATCCCGACCGTCCTCGAGAGATCTGAAATCTCTGTTGTCGTCCTCGTCGTTCGTCTAAAATCGCAGTTATTTCCAACTATCGTCGCCACCGTTCTTCTACGATTTGGCTTGAGATGGAGAAACCTGATCTGGATAGATGAACAATCACTACCGGCATATCTAATATGATCCAACCATTCATTACATATGGGTTCGAAGAAATTTCATTCAGAGACTCATAGAGGAGAAGCTAATTGCTCCGCTAGAGTCGGCGGTGGCGCGATAGGAAACGTTGTCTTTAAAATTTTGGCAGGACAACGGGAACTGAGGTGAGAGGATGACCCATCGGTGACAAGGAGTGGGGAAAGTCAGAGCCAACAGTAATTCGTTGTCTCCTCATTGTATACATCTAACGGGTCGTTTGGAAGTTGCGATAGTTTTGTTGAGATTGTCATTATGCATGTATTGTTTACAATGCATCGTTTTTTTGTTTTTTTAGCAGAAACAATACATGGATTGTTTCTGTGATGTGACAGAAACTATCACTCATTTTGAGTGATTGTTATATCTCAACTTTTAGTTGTGATTGTTGAGATAGTTGAGTTGAGATTGTTTTGTCTCAGCTTTTAGCTGATGCGACATACACAATCACACATACCATCAAATTCTACAATGCATCAAATTCGACAATACATGTATAATATTATACATGCATTCTCAACAATACATCTATTTAACAATCGCAACTTCCAAACGACCCCTAAGAAAACAAGTTAATCGAGTGAGTCCAAGTTATTGACAACTTTTTGGTTTTGTCATCTAATTCGCTCCCAAATTATCCTAAGAGTGCAACTGATGCCCCTTCCCTTACTTGCTCCTTTGGCATTCAAAAGACACCAAAATGTTGTTGGGTTAACGATACACTTAACATTCTCATGAACGACCAATTGAAAACTTAATTACAATATCCATGATGAGAATCAAGACAGTTAGATGACGAAACAAGCTTATGATAACTAACTAACCAACTAATAAATTATAACTAAAATATCACAAATTCTGGGAGGATGGTGGTTACTTCAACAAACTGGGTAATCGCAGAACCACACCACAAGATCGAACAAATCATCAACTCCCAAAGTAGGATCAAAGATTAATTCGCGATTGCACTTATGTAATTACAACGTACATTTGATGGGCCTAAGAAATATTACCACCGGTGCCCCCTTTTTCTTGTCACCTTGTATTGGATGGGCCTAAGATATTAATTTAGAGTTACAAGTTTCAGGCCCAATAGCGCGGCGAAAGTCAAGACAAGCCCTCTCCAATGAGATTTCTTCCCGCCAAAAGAAGCCGCGGCACTTGATTCTTGCTTGTCATCACTTGAAGATGAAGAGCTATCAGCCGGGGTATCATGACCGCTACCGCTAGAACCTGCAAATATCATTATTATTTTTAATTAATTGCATAATGTACAACATTGAAGTAATTAATTTAGATAATTATATATGAATTGAAAGGTACTTAGGGGTAGATTAATGATACTCACTCTCTAATGAAATTGGAGGCAATGAGATGGTGGCAGTAGTACTAGCAGACCCACTTGGTGCACTCGCTGGCAATTAGAAAAAACCGAAATGGTTTGAACCGTTAAATTAACAATTGTTTTGTCACTGTTTGAAATTAATATCTTGAAATTGCATCTGTGTCAATGGATTGTATCATTTAATCTGTATTCTAGCTTTTTTTGTATTACATCGTGAATAAATTACGTAATTTGTTGCATAATTTACTGCGAACTCGTAACCCATCATTTGTTGCATAATTTATTGTTTCATATTATATCTTCAATAAACCACACCAATTATTCTATATTTTGTGGAATCGCATTAATTACTTCTTCTTATTTTGTGATAGATGAATTCAGATTTTGTTTTATCTATTCGGTTTCGGTATAATAAAGGTGTGAGTTTTAACTTTGAAGAAAGGGAGATCTGGAAACAGGAGGTACCGGAATCGTTCTTGCAGCCGGACAAATCAGGCTTGGCGCCGCACGCGCCGGCGAGGGTTAGCGCGTCCTTCTTCGTGATGTTAACGCTATTGAGCAAATCTTGGCTGTTGAAGATGCAGACGCAGTCTTCGGTGGCGTTGGTCACAATCTGGGTGAGCGGATCGCAGCAGGAGGAAGGCGGCGTCCCTTGGAAATGCAGGAACTCCTTGCACGGCGACAGCTTCTGAATGCACTTGGCCTTCCCCGGGTGCGACAGCAGCGCAATCCCGCTGCGCAGCGCCTCCGACGAGTCCCCGCTCTCGTTCATCGACTTGGAAATCGCGTTCCCGTAGCTCTGCATCAATTCGTCCAGGTTCTGGCAGTTCCCCGCCGCGATCACGGAGCAGACGACTAATAAGGCGATGAAGACGTATGGCACTCCATCGTCGCCGGACCGCTGCGTCGTCATTTCACCGAATTAGATCCGATGGAAGCGAAGAACAACAACGATTAAAATTCAAAACTTCTAAGGTTGGGATTTTTTATTATTATTATTATTATGGTTATGGAAGAGAGGAAAAATCCTTTTGTTTTTCTTTGGGGAAAATTTCTCTTCAACTTTGAAAAGGCGAAAAGGGAGGATTATTTATATTCGTTATCTTCAGGATTTCACAAGCTCTTTCTTTTTCTTCTCGCTGATAATTCACTAATTGGGTTTTTCTTTCGATGTTTCTGTTATTCGTTTAGCGGGTGGGGTCAACTGAAACTGGGTCGCCTTTTTTTAGCGGGAGGGATTTGGAGGGAGAAGAGGGATTTGCAAACAGCGCGCATTTCCGCTCTGTTTTTAGTAACCCAACTTGTTCCACCTGAAGCAAAAAACAGGGGATTTGGTGTTCAAATCCAACATCCGAACGATCATTACACAAAAGGAGTAATGGTTTTCGTTCGAGTCTAGGAAACAAAAGCAACAGCAAAATTTTCACGTCTTGAACTTCCATCTCCATGTATGGTGGTATTTAACTTAAGCAGCAGCATGCTGTTGATTGTTGAAGCATCCTTTCGAGTCCATTTTTATCAGCACCGACGACTTGGTCGATTTCCTTGCCTTTCTTGATGAAGAAGAAAGTAGGCACGCTGCTTACATTCCACCTCGCTGCAACGTCCCTAGCCTCGTCAATGTCGGCTTTCAGGAAAGCAACTTTCGGGTGGCTACTTCTCGGCCAGGCTCGTAAAATGAGGAGAGATGACTCAGCAAGGGGCCACAACATGTGGCTGTGAAGTACAACACCATCAAGCGAGAAGCTCTGGATGGCATGCCGCATTCAATTAAATTTGGTGTCAGTCACCAAATAATCAATCATCAAGGAAAGCAACCACATTCTCAGTGTCATTTGATCTAGTTTCTCCCATGAAACTGTCTTCAAAGTTGTAGCAGGTTTCGATGAAATTTTGTTAAAGCAATAGTTATGGACGATAACTAATTTGCAGCTTTTTGTATGTGTACATGCATGCATGCAACTCAAGTTCATGTAAATGCAATCATCACAAGGAAAACAAAACAGTTACCTTCTTTTAGAGCAGACAGTGCTTCTCGTTCCTACAAAAGGTCGAACGAATCTGATTCAGAATTAAGTATCATTTTCCGGATAACTCGTTAGAAATACTATGTAGCATAACTTGAATACCAGTAAGTTAGCTAGCCCTATATCAACAAGTTCAAACAACCTCTTGAAATCATCAATATATAATCGGTCCTGACTCAGCCAGCTACTTGTTCAAAATGCTTAAAGGAGCTATTTTGTCGACCACATAAACAAGTGAAGTCAGAGTATAGTGTATTGGCGCAATCACAAAAAGTAATGGCATGGCAGAAAACTACGTTTCTCACACGACCAAGACACAATGATGGCAATCAAGCAAGCACACTGAGTCAAGCCCATACTCCTAAGCAAAAAGAAGTAGAAAGCAAATGGTCAATGCACAAAACCTAACCCACTAACTTGATTACCATCATGATTTTCTGTCAGGTCTAGATACTACTATGTTAAGAGAATAGATGCAAGAACACAAGTTGCCATGCCAGGGCTTCGGCTTCGGCTTGGCGCTTCTCATCACGTTCAGCATTCCTCAAGTGTCTTTCCTTCCGGAGGCGCTCATACTTTTTGTCATGCTCTCTAAATAATGGAATGCATTAATAACAACCAAGTTCCATTGTCAAAGGGAATGGCTGAAGCAGTTCACCTTCTTCAGAACTGAACCGATTTCCTCATCATAATCTAGCTTTGATGCGACATGAAGATCATTTGCTGCTTCTTCCCATTGCCCCGACATGGCTTTGCCATCCCTCTTACTTTATAGGCTTTTGCTGAATCCGGGTTAATCTGGAAAGCAGAATGAACATCCGGTTGGAAAAATCCCAACTCAAAATACAATCAATTGGCGATTTCTCACTGGGATGTAGAGGAAAGCCAGACTAACCTCCAAAGCAGCACTTGTATCTCGTATTGCAGCATTTGGTTTCTTCATTTTAAGGTAGACACTACCTGAAGAGAAAGAAGACAACTAAGTATGAACAACATGGAAATGTCTTGCGCAAGAGTAATCCAAACTGCACAAGGAAAACATAAGCTTAGGACTGAATCACGACCTCTAGTTGCATATAGTATTGCTGAAGTTGGATTCAACAGAGCGGCATCTGTCAAATGATCTATTGCTTCACTGAGCCTACCAGGAAAACATGCAGAATTCCATTAGTATAAAACAACAGAGATTTGCAATCGAAATGTGAGCATGTCAGAAGCGAGAACACACCTTCGGAGAGAGACTCTACAGCTTTTGCTTTCTCTGCCTGAGCAGCATCCTGATTCTCTTCTGTCACTTCAACTGGGCTTCTCATCTGTGACAGAGCAAGGAAACCAACATTCAACATCAAATTCAACAATATCATCATTATTTTCACTTGGTCTGGTGGAATCTGGACCCTCACCAGAACTAGACATTTCAGCCTCTCCTCCTTTCTCCTGCGTATGTGCAGAACAAGTCTCACGGTGAATAGAAAAGAACTCCATCGCAGCAGAAAGATCTAGGCATTCAGTGGAACAACAAGCACTCTAGACCTTTGGCAGTCAACAAGGGTCGGTAACAGACCTATGAGAGAAATTATATAAGAACCAATCAAGTTAGACTGTAAGTGTGTAGGAAGTCAGAGAAACAGAGGATGAAAGTTCTAGCCTAAGATTCACGGAAATTGATTGAGTGGAATCTATGCTTAAGTGTTAAAAAGGTACGCAACCATCATAAAAAAGGTCTGTGTCGAAATGAAGTTGGCTCAATATTCCAGAGTCCACACCAGGAGCTAAGAATAGAAATTCTAGCCATGGTCAAACCCAGAACTCCATTTGAGAGCAAATAATCAGAACGAACGAACCCATATCACCGAACCCACAAATTGAAAAGAAACAGCGAGATTTTTGCCTTGAATCCATGCTTACGGACTTAACTTCAGGGGGGGAGCTGAGCACCTAAGCTGCAGAAAACCCCCAATCGAAGAAGGCAGAAGGACGAATCAAAGTTCACCTAAAAAATTGCTTGGAACGAACAAAAAGAGTTCAAGAGAAGGGTTTAAGAGGTGAGTTTTGAAGATACGATTTGAAGAAAATAAGAGATGGGTGGTGAAGAATACCGGGGTTCGACTTGCACTCATCGATGAACCTCCGAACTCCGAAGTTCGGTAGCTTGAGTGGCATCCATAGCGAATTGGATTGGTTCTTCTTTGGTCAATGGGCAATGATGTGCGCAGAAGGGAATGTAGAAGAAAATAGACGCTGCTGCTGCTGCTGCTGGTCCTTTTTTCTCCGTATACTTGCGGTTTCTATTACTGTCCCCTGTTCTCGTTTGTTCTGGACTTCACCAATGCTCCCTGGGCGAGAAGCAAACGACGACGCCTGTCATGCTCATCAAGGGAAAAGGGCAAGGCGCTGCTGGACAACTCTTCACTTGTGTAACTTTTTCATCGAAGGCAATATTAGTAACTAAATAAAACTGAAAACACTACTAATAAAATGAATAATACTTACAATATAAATAGCTACAGAAAAATCACTATAATACCATCGAAGGCAATATTCAATACACGGAATAACTAGACATCAAAGAAAAACACTACTACGTTAAAAAAGTCCATACTACGATGAGTTCGTAGCAGGGGGATCATGGACTTGGTGGTAAGGAAATGTAGTAGTGATCCGAAATGAAAACCAAATAACTACTACATACCCAATAAACTACTAATCACTAAATAATCACTACTACACAACTTCTACGAATCTGCCCGTCTATGAATCATGCAGCGCCGACTGAGATCAGGGACACTGTCGCCAACGATGGCGTCGGCGTGGTTTGATCTCTAATATCCAACAGATCTATCCTCCGCCGACTGCTTCTCGCTGACGTCGAAAGTGCGACCGTAAACCGGCCGCACAATGTTCTCAGTCACGTCGCATAACCCGTCACTTGCTTCTTGCCGATGCGCCGCCCTCCGTCGTAAGCCCCTTTCGTCATGGCCCTCTCGTCGGAAACGCCTCACTGTTGTTGAGACAGAATGGGGGATTGGCATTTTTTTATAGAGAGAGAAAGAAAAGTGAGGCAGATGGTTTGACAAAAAGCAAAGTGGGGTGGCGGCACTTCGGGTGGGTAGAATATATATTATGGTTTTGATTAATGGTTGTTGTTACCAAATTAGTCTTTAATTAATCTTAGCCATTAAATTATAATTCCATCAGACGGTTGTAAACAGAGTTAGGGTTAGTACCTAATCCGACTCCTATGTACCACTCTATTTTGGGTTGGGTAAATTGGAAGTTTGGTCACTCGAATTATTAGAAAGTTCACGTTTGCCACTAATATTAATTTATTCCATCCTTAGTCACTCAAATTAGGTACACATTCCAAATTTGATCACTCTCCGTTACCCTCCATCAGACTTCGTTAATAGAATCCGTTAAGTGATGATGTGGCAAACGGAAATTCCTAATCAGCTTAATTCAACCATAAAAACTCACGACCCGACCCGCCACGTTAATTTTGCCCGCCATATCAGCATTCCCTACCCAACCCGAGACCCAACCCACTCTTCCCCAATTAACCCATACCCCCACCCTCTTCTGAATCCTCTCCACCTCCCTCTCCCCCACCCCTCCACCGCCACCATCTCGACCAACTCACCCAAAACCCAGAAATAAAGTGAATCAATCGACTCCAAATCTGCAAAATTATGTAAGAAAACCCAGAACCGGAAACCCTTATGCCAGACTTCATCGGCGACTTCCGTCATCTCGAGGTATTTCAACTTTGGGGGAACAATTTCACTCCCGAGCTACTGGCGAATCTCGGCCAGATTGGCAAGCTGAAGCTTCTCAATGTGTTGTTTAATCACCTCACCGGTTCAATTCCTAGGGATTTATGTAAGGGATGGGAATTGGAGATCCTAATTTTAATCTACAATTTCTTCATCGGTCCTCTTCCAGAGGAGCTCGACGATTGCTATTCAATGAATCAAATATGTATCGTGAATAACCTCCCTCAATGGACTGTTACCCGCCGACATCTTCAGTTCCCCTACCGTCACCGTCCTGGAATTCAGCAACAACTACTTCTCCGGAGAACTTCCATCTGAAATGTCCGCCCTGCGTCTCCGCCTCCTCCTTTACATCACCAACAGTCCCAGCCTCCTTTTCACCTAATCGAGTTGCACTCGTCAGAGCAGGAGGACCGGTGATGGGGCTATGCGATGAGGAAGACAAAACAGATAGATTGACAGAGTTGAATAGAATAAAGGGGGAGATATAGGGGGGTTGGGTCACAAGTTGGTGATTCGGGCCTAAATGTACACTTTTTATCCCCATTTATCTTTGGCGTTTGTGGCATTTGAGCTCTGAAAGGTGTGGTTTTACGCTAGGTTTGCCGTGTTTCAGTGTGTTTTAGAATCTAACAGGTGGAACCAACCCCAGAGTCAATTGTTGGAAGAAATGGCGCGAAGATCGGACTAAAGGAGGAAGCAGCTGAAGGTCACGGTTCAGCAGGAAGTTCACGGTCATCTGGACCGTGAATTGGAGCCATAAACCGTGAACAAGCAGGCTTCCAAAGCTATTCTAGAGGTTACTGGCATCAACCCAGTTCACGGTCGCAAGATCGTGAACTAAAGCCATGGACCGTGAACCAGCTTAATAAAATAGAATGAATTGGTTCGAGTTCACAGACCGTGAAGTGGGCGTGATCTGTGTATAAAAGGAGAGCTGAAAGGAAGAACAAAGGGGAGCCCAAAGTGAGAGAAACCTTCTTCTTCAAGAATCTAGAGAGAGAAAGCCACGAACCAAGAGGGATAAGAAGCTAGGGTTTGCTCCAAGTTAAGATTTGGGAAGTTCCTCTTCAAGAGAGGATCTCTACAAACACAAGGGAGGATTGAGGCATCACAATGATGGTTTTTCCCCATTTCCTTTGTGTTCTTCCTTCTTCTAGTATGGAGTAGTCTCCTATTCACTTGAGTGTTGTAGAACCCTAACTTCTACCATGTAGTTAATTGTGTGGATTGAATGATTGTGTATGAGTGGTGTTTAATTTGAGATTTGAGGTATTTTTCATGGTGATTGTGCATTGTGTGTGCTTGGCAATCTATTGTGCTATTCTAACCAAGCTTATAGGGAAACCCCCTTATCTTAAGAGGCTCAAATTGAGTTGGGTTTTCTTGGGCATTCCATGCCTGCTATCTAGGTTAATGTAAGGCAAATCTCTAAACTCAAATTGAATACCTAGGTTAATTGGGATTAAGCCGTCCAAACCCCTGGTTTGAGGGAGAATGTAAGTCAACCCTCAATTTCTTGGGGCCAAGAGGGCTACATTTGTAGCCTATATTGCATTCCTTGGCCTAGTAATTGAGAGTGTGGTTTCTAACCATTCTTGCTCCTCCTAGCGGTTCACAATCGCCTTTTCCCGCACCGATTCATTCGATCCCACGGGTCATGATAGTTAGTTAGGGTGAAACAACTCCCGAGTGAAACTTCTCACCATGATTTTCAATCCTTTTACTTTTCAATTTGTTTTAACCGTAGATTGTAGAGATTTTCACAAACAACAATCCGTTAGATAATGTTTCAAACAATCGAAGTAGGGGTACATGGGTCGGCCCAGATCGATATTTAAACATACTTGCCCGATATTGCCCATGTTTAAGGTTTATACTTGGTCCTTAAGTGGGACTTAATGGTGATATTCGGGTTGAGTCAAGTTTTTGGCGCCGTTGCCGGGTACCTTCGGTCCGTTATTCTGAAAAGATTGTTTGGAGTTAATTTAGCTTTTACTTTGAGTTTCGATTGTGTGAAGTGTTACTTGTGCTAGACGTGTTGTGGTTCTTTTGAGTGTGCTCAGGATGGTGTATGACCCGGAGTAATCCGACATCTTTGTTGCCACTCGACAAGTAATCCGACTCTTGGCTCATGAGAGGGAACTGGTGGAAGCAAGTAGAAGGTTAGAAGAGAGAGGACAACCACAATTTGGTCCCGAAATTGAAATTGAAGTTGAGGACGATTTTGAAACCGAGGAAGAAGGGAGTGAAGCCGAGATGGCGGATAACCAAAATGAGCAAGCAGGAGCCAGGGATCAACCAAGGACTATGGGCTATTACATGGCTCCACGGGCGGCGGATATCGAATCTACCATCCTACATCCACCCATGGTCGCCAACAATTTTGAAATCAAGTCTGCTCTTGTCACCATGATCCAGAACAACGCTTTGTTTCATGGGCTTTCCAATGAATAACCGCGGAAGCATGTTCAAAGGTTACTTGAGCTTGCGGGATGCTTGAAGATAAATGGTGTCCCCGAGGAGGCATTGCAACTGAGGCTATTCCCCTACTCTCTTGCGGGGAAAGCACTCTGATGGCTCAACAACCGACCGGCTCGCTCGATCACCTCGTGGGATGATTTGCTTAACAAATTTATGACCCAATATTGTCCTCCTTCCAAGATGGCCGAGTGGTGAAAGAAGATTACCCACTTTGAGCAAGAGGAAAATGACACATTGAGGTATGCATGGGAAAGATTCTCGGATTACTTCCTCCAATGGCCTCGCCATGGATTTGAAGAGAAATTTCGGATAGAGACCTTCTATGACAATCTCATTCAAGATGACAAGATTACAATCCATGGAGTTGAGTATTCTTTATCCTGCTACAGTTTAATATTTTCTGTTTATAGATAATTTATGTTGAATTCATATTTTTGTTGAACAATGGTGGATGTTGATTCAGTTAGGAAGGGCTGTCTTTCGTCTTCATTTACATTTTGACGACCACGGTATCGAAAGGGGAATCAATAGGGATGACAATGGTATTGAGATGGCCAACAAAAAGACAAAGCCCCATCCTCAGCCATGAGCTTGGCTCTCCCTCTTCCTAAACTAATAAGAAGAAGAAGAAGAAGAAGAAGAAGAAGAAGAAGAAGAAGAAGAAGAAGGTTAGGGAGTTGATGGTCAACTCCACTATCAACACAGTCGGAGGTACCCAATTAATCGAACTCTCTACCTCTGTGCATATTCTATGAAAGTAGACATAAGAAGGTTGGAAAATGTTTGATTTTCTGTTTTGATTAGATCGATGAGATAGTCGACAGTATTGGCATAAGAAGGTTAGGGGATTTGATTCCTTTTTATTCTCAATGATCGACGAGAATGCGGCATTTTTGAAATCATTGTCGAAGGTGAGGAAAAAAAATGTTATGGACGGAAATGACGATTTCAATAGGAATGGTGGTTGTAGAAAACAATCCAGAATGAAGAAAAAGAAGGAGGAGGAGAAGGGAGGAGAAGAAGAAGACGATGAAGATAGAGGAGTCTCCTTGAATCGCAAACGGTGCCACTGAGAAAGACTGACGTTGGTAAGCTCATGTCTCTTTTAGTTTCTCCTTTTGTCCTATCAGAGTAGAGCTCCTCATCTTCCTCACAGTTTCTAGATGGTCATTGTTTCTATATGGTTTCTATTTTCTGCTGAGTAGATTTCAAAAATCTGAAAACTATTGGTTTTGCTTTTGACTTATTTGAACAAATTTTGTGATTATATATTGGTTTTGCTTCTTACATGCATCTCTTTGCAACATAAACAAAAACCCAGATTTGACTTGCATACCTGATACATTTATGGCTTGCAATTGAAATATATGAGGTTTCATTTCTCATATATATTCTCACAATCTATTTACTCGCAACTCAGTATTCGTCCTGATCGCTTGGGACTTTGTCTCCTTTATCATATGAGCTGATTGTTCTTAGCAGTGCTGTCAAAGCCGAGCCGGCCGGCCGGACCGCCAAAGCCGCCACCCGGCCATAAAATCGGCTCGGATCAGCTATTTAACCGCCACGGTTTTATACAGCGGCCGGCGAGCGGCCGAAGCGGTTAACCGCTCGAGCCGCTCAAGCCGGTCGCGCTGTTCGGCCGTTTGGTTTACCCTTAAAAAAAAATAGAAAAGGAATCGTGGAATTGGGCAGCCAAACAAAACCCTAACTTTCCTTTTATTTCTCCATCTTCGACCTAAAAGTAGAAGTGTAGAACAGACGACAGAGGGAGAGCGGCGCCATCCTGCCGCCGTCAACCATCGCCCCAGGCCCCCAGCGCTTCCGTCCCGCCGCCGCAAGCAGCGCGCCATCGCCAGTCGCCATCGTCGCTTCTGCTCCCCGCTCCCGGCGCAAGCAGCTCGCAATCGCCGCAAGCAGCGCCATCGCCAGTCGCCATCGTTGCTTCTGCTCCCCGTCGTCGTCGCAAGCAGCCCCCTGCAGTTCTGCTCCTGCCGCAACATCTCCCCCAACCACTGCCCTGCTCCAGCCATCTCACCTCCACAGTCCGCAACATCTCCCACCAGCCGACTCACCTTTTGCTCGAGGTAAGTTAATTTTGTTAAACCTAATTGATGCAAATTTCTGGTTGATTGTAATGTTAATTTGCATGATTAAGAAGTGTCTACTATTACAGATGCTTGTTTATTAGGTACCGGTTCTCAAACGGTTTTTAAACGGTCTAATGTCGGCTGGACCACTAATGACCGAGCCGTTCACGTTACCGGGTCATACTCCGGCTCGGCTTTGACAGCATTGGTTCTTAGATTCTTTTGAGAGTTTGGATTTTCTAAAAATAATTCGAGCAAGATTTCTTGTTGTGGTGTCATCTATAAGAGGTTAATCGAGATTGCTTTATGATTACAAGTCATGTTCTCTATATACCTATGTCTTTCTGTTGACTTCTTAATTATATCATGGTTACATATTCATTTTGGTAAAAAATGGCAGGGAAATGACATTGCTTCTTCGTTCAATATCTCACTATGACAAGGTCACTGATGGGATCGATTCCTTCATTTCTTTCACCCTTTATTCAGTTTGACACTGGAAGTTAATGTCTCTACGTCTTTTCATTCCAAATATTGGTGATTTGTTACTGCAGTTGCAGTCATTATTTATGATAGAAAAGAAACGCAGGCTTATGAGGCGGATCTCAATTGGTTTTTGAGGTTTTGATTTATGGTGTATTATGTATGGATGATTTTGTACATTTGCTGGTTTGATTGGACAATTAAGTTTGAATTATCACAGCTAATCACATCAGTCTCTACCCTTCCATATATTATTTTCCATCCCACTCAATTACCTCCAACCATGTTCGTCTTCCTTGCATGTTAGTTTAATATTGGTTCTTGATTTATAACTCTTAAATCTTTTGTTCTTGCAACTATTTTTGGAAGGCAAAGAACACTCGACTTCGGTAAAATTATTCTTGAGCGACACTACATGGTTTTATGTTGCTCAGATAATGATGACATTGCCCGCCGATCATTTTCGGAGTTTCAATCTTTTATGGTTTGTTCTTGTCACTTTCAGTTTCTTTGCTTGATTGTCAAAAAACTATCTTCAAACACTTTGGATTAATATGATTGTAATGTTTGTATAGAATCCGCAGTGTCAGAGTACTGATTGGATAGGTGGGTTTGTGTGATTTGGTGCAAAGACTTGGTAGGTGGTCAGAAAAAGAGAATGAATGCCTTGCAAAAAGGGTGCTTACAGATTGAATAGGTCTTTGTCGTTAGGTCATTACTTTTGAGATATGCTCTGACTGTGTTTTAGCTTCTCTGAAATAAAATTATCTTTTCGAACTCCTAGTCTTTATATATGATTGATTTACTGCCTCAACTGTGCATTGTCAGGACAAAACAACGGAATGCATTTGGTGCATGTTTACAAGTCATCACCATGGAGATGGGACATGCGATGAAGCTTTTCTGGGGAACTTGATGAGGGGCATTCAATTGCCAGACTTGGTATGTAAAATCCATTATACATAATTCGATTGCTTCACACTAAATATGCTATTCCTTTTAATGGGTAAAGTACACCATATTTGCTTCATCTTCGATACCATTAGAGTGCTGCTATTTGAATACTCTCTTTTGTTATCAATCTCATTTCACAAGTTCAAGGGAAGCTATTTGGTAGCCCAAGGTGTCTCTCATAGCCTTTTTAGTTTCATTGTGGGATGGAAACCAAGTCATGCTTGAACACATAGCTTAGAGAGCATCTCAATGTTTATTTCCAGTTTCAAATTGAAAATTATCCATTGGCCTTGCCATGTCTTTGTTATGATTTAACTACAGAAGATTCTATGGTTTCCATCTTAGATCCATAAGCATGTGTAATGTCGACTCTCGTTCTTTAACTTAATTTTAATTGTGGTTGCTAGATGATGATGGGAAGGTTTCTTATATTTAGCAGTATCATGGAAATGCCAATGAGCCTATGAAAACACCATACAACACAACGATTTGATGCCTTCATTAATCCATATTGATCTTACTTCTGCACAAGACAAGGTTTTCATCGTCGGGATACAATACAACCCATGATGAGGAAAGATGATCTCCACTCGACCTTTGAGGTCATTTCGACATGGGATCCACTTTGTTATCAGTAATGATAGAATGGCATCTTCCTGGACAGCATGCAACAATCAAACAAAGGGGATGGTTTAATTCTTTCCTTTGAGAAAAGATGGGGGAGAAGCATTGGAAGGAACAAATGTTTATAGAAGACTTTCATATTGGATTGAATGTATTGAAAGTGTTAATGTTATTTAACTTCTGGCCTCATTTTCAGTTCGACCTTAATTATAATACAGTTACAATAACTTTCTAACAACGTTTTATTTTTTGTTCAGTCAACTACCCTCATGAGTCATGAATGTTGTATTAATTGTTAAACAAAAGTGTGAGGAAATTGATAACATCAATCCATCAATTTAGTAGTGCTACACTTCCACTAATAGATTCGAGGACAAGAAACCATATAGATTTAACCTTATAGTTCTGATGACATATTTATTTTCCTATTTACTCTATAAATCTATAAGTATAATTGTGACCGCTCATCGCGAAGCGAGTGGGTCTTGCTAGTCACTTATTATAGTAGAAGCAAAGTGCTATTGCAGTTGCAATGATCGCAATTACAAAAAGAAATAAAGCTTGGAGAACAACTTAATATAAATACCAATTCCATAATTTTACGACATAGGGAAGTAATCAACATTATAGGTCCATCGGGCATCGGGCAGGCCGTACAAAAGGATGACTTTGATTCCAAGTGATCAGCTCTCTACATATATAAGAACAACGATTCGATTCATACCTACGACTACGTCGAAACATCATCGACGACAACATATCTAAATCTTTACCCACTATATATATATCTCTCTCTATATATATATAGGCCGAAAAAGAATGGAGCTGAATGCCTGACAATCTCGTAAACAAAAAAGAACAACTTTAACAACTTCAAACTTTCAAGGAAAATCTGTTGGCCCGTAACAAAACGTTAATTTCGACGTGCCAATTTATCTTAAGACTTTGCAAGTTGGGGTCTCTTGGACTGATGATGAACCTTTCATCTTCACGCACACACATCCCCTTCCGAAGAGTTCTTACTTGCGGCATAAGGCGATGCACTCGATACCCTGAAACAAAAACAAAAAAAGGGTTTCAGACTCTCAAGAGCGATAATCAGACAGTGGCTATCTATTCCATACTCGGCAAACAAAAAAAGAAAACTGTTGGCAAACATACCTTTCCTTGCGCTTCTCCAAAAACCGAGCCAACGATGCTTTCCGAGCCTGGGGTATACGAACCTGCTGAGGCAGTCCTGCAATGGGAGCAGGTCCTGCGCAGGAACTAGTTGGGATCGAAGATGACTCGACATGGATGCTAGATGACGTCACTAGAGATCTGGCTGTTCCGGATTCACTGCTGGTACTCGAGCTTACAGAAATGGGACTCGGCATGCTTGACCCTGGGGGTGTTTTACTGAATTTGTTTGCTGCAAAATGATGATCCAGAGAAAGGGAGGTTTGGATAGCAGGCTGCATTTGAGCAGTTCTGGATGAAACCGGCCTATTACTACGCGATGGAGATGACCCACTTCTTCTAGCCATTGACATAACAGCCTGTGCCTGGTGCATATAGATGAAAGCAAGCATTAGAACGAAGAACATTGAATTCCGCGAGCTCTAAACACCAACGGATTAAAAGAAGCTTAGATGGAATACCTGTTCAGGGGAGACTTCATCATACACACAAACAGAACCAGCATAAAATATGGTTAACTGGGCAGAGGAGCCAGAGAACTTGGGGGTGTTCCTGCAAAATCATCCCAACAGTTCAAGTTGTTAGATTTACTTTTCACTGTCTTTAATCACCTAGGCTATAAGTAAGCCATCATGTATTTTAGATATCTACTAACCGGAGGTCAGTAGTACCAATGACAGAGCTTGTTGTGGCTGGAACGACAGGAATAGGTATTGTGATTGGAACTCCACCAAGTGGTTGTATGGAGACCGAGTTTCCAAACCCACTATGTGAAGCGGAAGCAAAATGGGACGGCAGAACAGGAGTGCCCAAAGAAAGAGGAACCGGCTGAATTTGGTGTCCGTTGGACAGAGGGAACATTCTAATATCCCTGGTGGATCCCACAGGGAATGCATCAATATTATGTTGTTGCACTGGACGAGCTGCCATTGTGCGATGATGGCTTCCGGCTTCTTTATCAAGCATCCAATTTTTCTGGAGAAGGAAATGGAGGTTCTAATGAGTCGGCTAAACTAAAAACGGTTTGGCAGCATAATACATAATCTTTCTCTAGCCCAACCAAATAGAATAGAACAGCTAATTGGAAAGAAGCAAACAAACAGGGAGTTGCAATGGAGGACCTGCATGAAGGAGGCAGAGCCCCTTTTGTTGCCGGAGTCAAAAGTATCAGCATTTGAGATAGACATGAAGCTCGACGAGGCAACTGGATCAAAAACACTTTTCCTTGGTTTGTCTTCAGGAGCAGTCTGAAATGACAAGAACTGGGGAACAGCAGAAACCTTGTGGGAAGAAAATGACCACTGAGCTCCTCCAGAGTTCCTCATTGTCACTGCAAGAGCAAAAGAACATGGAAAGAATGCCTCATTGGTTGCAGCTCTTATTGCATCTCAAACCATAGATCCCCCATTAAAGTAATCTTGAGATAACTGACACAAGTACCTCGATAAATGTAAGATAAAAACTAATAGGACAGTCAACAGTTGGAAGATTAGACACTACTTAATATGTTCACATTAACTTATCTCTAGGCACATGGGGAAAAGGCACGTTCTCAAACCATAATAGTGCGAATCTTTGGATTAAAATATTGACAAGGAACCCGACATTTAAAAACTCAAACTCAAGTACTCAACACACAAATGGAATCAATAATGAAACCCCTATAACCAAAAGAGCCATAAGACAACACCCAGATCATAAGCAATCAGTGACTTCATACAACAAGCTCAATGATACCAACCCCCCAGCTGATTCAATCAACCTCCAATTCACAACACAGCTGCCATGATTTGCAAGTTTCAGGTCACACCGGAGTCCTCCTTTGCATTCAATGAAAAGGGTCACTGGCAATTAAGGCACAACTTAATTACTTGCAACCAGATAAAGAAAAAGACAACGACTTTACTTTCCCCCAAACAAAACTAAATTAACAATGAATAGAAGCACAATACAAAAGAAAAACCATCCAGCAGCCGATGTCACATGACGAGAAACCGTGTGCGATTAATTTATTGCAGATCAAAAGATTTTAAAATTTTATATATACCAGAAAAAAAATAGCCAGCCAGCAATCTCGTTCAGAAGATAATAATATTGATGATAATAGGGAAGTGTTGTATTTTTTCCTGGTTTGCGCCCACTAACATTGAATTGAACACTTTAAAAATCAATTCACATGTTAGATACAAAGTCCATTCTGAATTTCTGGTTCTGATAAGAGCTACTTTAACTCGATAATTATTTATGTATCTCATTCAAATCAAGCAACAATTGTTTAATCCTTCTCTCTCTCTCTCTCTTGTTTATTCTTAATTGTTGAGAACGAAAGCATTTTCACTTTTGTTTAATGAATTCCACCCACTCATTCACTTTTGTTAAATGAATCCTACATCAACTTGTTCTTTGTTTGTCACGTTTGGGTGCCGAGAGATGCTCATTCTTTTTTTTTTAAGGTTAGTGGTCCTTGCCAACTGCCAATCCAAAATTGCTTTCCATCTCGCCACATTATACATGGCTTCCTTTCTTAAACCTCAAACTTACATGGGGAAAAGCACATTTACTTAACTTCACCTAATCGATGCTCAACTTCAAGGGTTAGCTTAAATAGTAATGCTGCGACGATAACATCTACAGCCTCTCTCAAGTTCAAACCTTGACTTTATATGATTGCTGGTCCCAACTACCAAATTCCGAGCTTAACATACGATGAATGTTACCATCCCCACATCACCATCAGAATAAATCATCGAGATTAAAATTTGAATATTGGAGTATGTAATCAATTAAGATATTTTTATTTCTTTGATATAATTCGATGGAGAATTCCCCGTTTTGAAAATATGTTTTGTACTACACAATCGGTCTCGATGTGCAGCCAAGGGTGGATTTCGCATGACGGTTCACATTTCAAGACCGGCCTTGTAGAGCACTACCATTCAACTCAACATTTAATTTTTAGTTTGATTAAAATAAAGGTATCATTTTCAAGACAACATAACATGACCCACCTCAATTAATTGTATTATTATTATATACAATTGAGATTTCTAAAAAAAAACTATGTTTTCTATTTTCATCAAGTGGTTTCTTTTTTGTTTATTTAATTGTTACATTTAAGCAATAATTATCAAAGTTAGCCCTGAAAATTGGAACGAAGGTTAGATCTAGCGGTACAACCGATAATTTCAACATAAAAACTCAAGGTTAAAATCTCAGGACGGGGTCTCAGACTCTCAGATCCCAATCAGTACCATGAAGAAGTAAAATATATATTGTCGCACTCGTTTAATTGATTAATAAAAAAGGAGAAGCGAAAGTGAAAGATGGATGGTTGATTAGTCATGGTCATGTCCAATTGCTAGCAAAGCTTCAACCTTATCCCCATACATCTATTTTGTATGGTTCCCTTTATTATATTACCTAGGAGTGCATTAGTTGCCCACATTACAGAATTTATTATTAAAATATGGGGACATATTTTTTTTGTTTATTATTTCTTTTTTTAAAAAAGGAGCATGCTTTCCACACCAAACCTTCATAGCCCAGCAACTAAGGACACCATTCCTATTTTGTATTTTGACCCAACACAACATGTGAACTTATTCTGCGCACCCGTCGCGCATATTAGCATCCCACCATTAACCTAATGATATTTATTCTTTTACTAGGGAATATATAATAATAATAAGGGTTAATATCTTATTTTGGCCCGAACTATGACCATATAATCAACTTTGGCCCGTGGTTTCAGAAATTAACATCCTGGCCTCAACTATGCAGCATATAGACTCAATTGGCCCGACACATAGTTTGACCGTCAATTTGGACGGTCAACTCCGTTGACCGTTAGTCAACATGCCATGTCATTGTCTAATCAGCCTAAAAATCATTAAAAAAATTTAAATTCAAATTATTTTCCTAATTTCTATTATTTATCATTTTCCAATTAACCAAAAAATAAAATTCTAAAAATATAAAATAATTTTTTTTGTGATATTTGAAAATGATAAATTTTATAAATTAACCAAAAATTATCAAATTAAATTTTATTAATTAAAAATTATGATATAAATTATATTTTGGTGGGAAGTTTTAAAAATATAAAATAATTAGATAATTTATAAAATTTATCATTTTTCAAATTATCCAAAAAATAAAAAATCAATTTTATTTTATGTTTTTTATAATTTATTTTTTGTTAATTTAATAATAAATAAGAAAAATTAGAAAAATAATTTGAAATTTACATTTTTTAATGATTTTTAGGCTGACTAGGCAATGACATGGCGTGTTGACTAACGGTCAACGGAGTTGACCGTCCAAATTGACGGTCAAACTATGTATCGGGCCAATTGAATCTATATGCTGCATAGTTGAGGCCATGATGTTAATTTCTGAAACCACGGGCCAAAGTTGATTATATGGTCATAGTTCGGGCCAAAATAAGGTATTAACCCTAATAATAATACACGCACCTCATGTATGACCAAAGCTAATTTTGAAACGTTTCCTTTCTGAATTTTCGGTTTTCTTTTTAATATATATATAGATTTGGCCCACCTTCGTTCCCAGCCTGCTTCCTAGGGTTCTCGTTGGACTTGTACTTGCACCACGCTTCAAAATATTTGTACCATGTGCTCAACAATTGACAGTTTTTTTCATTTTCATTACTAAAAAAAAAAAAATGAAACGTTAAGCCAAAGAGAAAGGGAAAAAAATCCTTCCAGCCCTAGATTTCTCTTGTTTGGTTCCTCGGAAAAATTACAGGACGAAAGGGGAAACAGAAAGTAAAACAGAAACGGAGATGGGGTAAGAAAAAAAGAAATTGGCATATGCTATTTTTGGTCAAGCTAGGGAATAACGTAACAATCCGAATTGGTTCCTATCTTCCACTTTCCCGAGCTTTTTTCTCGGCAGCCAAACAAGGACCACGAAGGTTCACTACGGCGGAATAGAATTCAGCGATTGAATTAAGGAACAGAGGGAGGCAATGAAAATTCTACTTTGGAAGGAGAGGAAGAGCGTACCGGAATCCTTGGCGGCGGAGGAGTCTGCAGGAGTCTCCTCCTTCATCAGGTGCTGCGATCCCAACCCCATGAAATCTCTCTCCATAGCTCGGCGGCGTCTGGATTAGGTCTCAACCGAGGGAATTTAAGGCGGAATCTTGCGGTTTCCTTTCACAGGTGAATTCGAGACGAAAGAGAGGGGAAGCGGCGGCTGTGGCGATGGTTAGCTGAGGTATGAGAGCTAGAGGGAGAGGGGGAAAGAAAAAAATGAGAGAAGAGAGAGAGTGTGGGGATTTTTGGAAATGGAAAACGTGAAGTCGCTCTTTTCGTTTCTTATTTTTTATTATTTTCTGTTTTTAATCCTTTGTGACTAATCACCAATTGGTACCCATAATCTACGCGTATTTATAGACTACTTTTTTCCAACTTTCAAGACCTTGAAAGTTGCCGGTGGTTCATTAAATAGTATATTGTTGGTGTATAGGGCTCGGAATTTAGATCAAATCGTATGAGTAACCGCCATATATATCGTATGGTTTGGTTTGGATTGTGAGACCATAACTACGATTCTGGATTGTGAGACTAGTTTCTTCCTTTAGTGTGTGGTTTGGACCGCGGTTTACCGCAGTAAACCGTAACAGACCGTTACACACTATCTACTAACGGGTAAATGACACATTTGGTCACTGAGATTACTAAATTGTGTCATGTATAGTCACTAGAAAAAATTAATATCAATTTTGGTCACTCGAATTACCGAAACTGGTCAAATTTAGTCACTCTCCCGTCAGTTTCCGTCCAACTCCATTAATGTAGTTGGTCGGAAACTTTTGGGAGAGTGACTAAATGTGACATGTTTTAGTAATCCGAGTGACTAAATGTGACATTTTTCAATAATTCGAGTGACCGGAGTTGGACAGAGGCTATAGAAGAGTGACCAAATATGACCTGTGTCAGTAATTCGAGTGACCAAAATTGATATTAAACTTTTCTAGTGACCAAATATGACACGATTCAGTAATCTCAGTGACCAAATATGTCATTTATAACACAAAATTAAAAACCTCCATTTGTGTATTTGAAGAACAAAGTTAGTTGATTTTTCATCTAGTTGAGAGCCAACAAATTGCCTAAATGATCACTTATGTGTTATCTCCTTACCAAAGAACCACACCAAACCCATAAAGATTCATAAATAATATTAACAGACAATTTCTAGATTATGGAGTCGATAAAACATAAACACTAGAAAAAAATTCATTCACCTTGATGAGATAAGAAAAAATTATTGAGAGATAAATGACCATCTTAGTGGTTCAAAACGATCTCGACGTTATTATGAAGGTTATCAACTGCGAGAACCTTCGGATCACCCGAGAGAGGGAGAGAAGCGGTAGCACAAAGAGGAAGAGGGAAACAATGATATTTGATGTGTGTGTTTTTTAAGATATACTAGATAGAGACATAGATGTTGTAGTGAGAGTTTGAAAATTGAAAAAATACACTTCTCTCCTCGTATATTTCTTCTCATTTAATTAGGGTAAATTGCAAGGTTAGTCATTGGGTTTACTAAAAACGTTCATGTTTGGTCACTAAAAATAATTAAATCCATTCATGATCACCAAAATGAGTTAAATGGTTCAAATTTAGTCACTCTCCGTCCAACTCCGGTAATTTTGTCTGATGTGACAGTCAACTCTCAAAGTTGACCGTTAATTGAGTGACGTGGCAATTAAAAAATAATAAATAAAATAATATTTTTTTATTTTATAATTTCCAGCTCATTTTTACAATAAATTTAAATAAATAAAACAGAAAAAAATATTATAATTACCAACGCATCACACTCTGCCACCTCACTTTCCATCTCCTTGACCGCCGGCAGCTTAAACTTCCCGTCGAGAAGCTCCGCCAGCCACCGGCTCCTCATCTCCGAGGTGAACAGGTTCGTGATGCTCTCCGAGTACTCCAACACGGCCAGCTGCGGAATCCACGTCGGAAAGCACCCTCTGTAGATCGGAAAGACGCTGTCCGGACTCCCCACGATTATTTCTTCGAAACGTTTCGATCGGAATATGTTATGCAGCTTCTTCTCGCAGACGAAACACGTTGCCAGTATCACCACGTCGGCATCTAACAGCGTCTTATCCTTATAACCACATTCGGTTTTCATTCCTTGATTGTAGAAGCTAAAACTCGGAGCTTTCTAGAATTTCTTCGGAACGGTGGATACCAGACAGGTACCGACCGCCGTGAGAAAACTATGTTTTGATTACTTGCTTGCGAATCGTTCTTGTGCTTGATTGGAGATTGCCCATCTCTGTTTTCATATAAAAAAACAGAGTATTATACTATAAGTTAGTTTCCCCTTTCGGAATTCCAATTGGCTTAATTATGCAGGATCCCCTGCAGAACATCCCCTAATCCTACTCCAGGCCGGCCTTCCCAGCTGCTGGCAGCTGTCACTACCTCCTCAACCACAACAACCAAGCCTTGCTCCCCGAACTTCCATTCTTCGGGGAAGCACCCGTCGTATAGGGGGATCCGGGCCCGGAGCGGGAAGTGGGTCTCGGAGATACGGGAGCCCAAAAAGACGACCCAGATATGGCTGGGGATGAGACGCCATTGGATGCCCACATGGTGATACTGGCGGCGAGTTTCGTCGGCGAGAAGAAGCTGTGTAACATCTTCCGATCGATAAGTTTCAGGGAAATCATCGTGGGGAGTCCGGGCAGCGTCGTTCCGATCTACAGAGGGTGCTTTCCGACGTGGGTTCCGCAGTTGGCCGTGGTGGGGTACTCGGAGAGCATCACGAACCTGTTCACCTCGGAGATGAGAAGCCGGTGGCTGGCGGAGCTACTGGACGGGAAGTTTAAGTTGCCGGCGGTGGAGGAGATGGAAAGTGAGGCGGCGGAGTGTGATTCGTTGGTAATTATAATATTTTTTCTATTTTATTTATTTCAATTTATTGTAAAAATGAGCTAAAAATTATAAAAGAATAAAATTTATTTCATTTATTATTTTTTAATTGCCACGTCACTCAGTTAACGGTCAACTTTGAGAGTTGACTGCCACATCAGACAAAGTTAACGGAGTTGGACGAAGAGTGACTAAATTTGAACCATTTAATTAATTTTAATGGTCATGAATGGATTTAATTATTTTTAGTGACCAAACATGAACGTTTTTAGTAAACCCAGTGACTAACCTTGCAATTTACGCCATTTAATTACGATCACAATTTTTTTTGTTTCACTAGCATATTGGTCACTGAAACTTTAATTTTTATAGATACCGACGAAGGGTTGGAGGGCGATATAAGAGTGTATTTTTTTAACATGATCTGTCTGGTCTATACCGTATCGGACCGCACAGATGTGATCTGGTTTGTACCGTATATTATATGGTCTGGTCCATAATCTATATTTCAACCTCTCGATCTGGTTCGAACCGCACCGTTTTCCACCCCTAATATATAGTTCATCCTAGGTTTTCATTAATGACATACCTAACGACTCCGAGCGTGGAAATGTGTGGTCGAATTGTATAAGTTTGTGTAGGCGCACATCTTCATTTGCATGTTAGAGAAATCTCAGACTTCACAGTTTTTTCTTTTTATGAAATGAAACTGCCTTATTCATAAGAAAAATGTATTGTGATGAATTAAATACTAAATATAGCATATTTTGATGTTCATTGGTACATTCAATTTCAAGATCAAGCATCAGGGAAGAAAAGAGGGCAGTTGAATGGACCGGTTCAACCGGTAGGAGGGAACCGGGACGGGGTTGTTTTTAGAGAGCAGAGCACCACGTGCGTGATCCAAGTCAGATTGATGGGAAAGGGGAAGGTATCTTTTGGTGACGGTGTTATCCATCCAATTACACGTCTGTCCACCGCTTGCCTCCCTCGTGAATCTATAAAATAATGATGTAATTTTTCTTTTATTTAGTTCTTGAGGTGATGTGGGTTGGGTTGGGTGGTTTTACTGCATTTTAAGCGTGTTGTGTTACTTTTGGGTGGGTGGTCCTTTTTTCTTGAACGTGTTTGTTTCTTTGTTCTTTTCCTTCCCCAAATGGCCACATCTAAGTTCTAACATCTCCCCCACTTTTGCAGTAAAAATTAAGGGTCATTTGCAGAGGTGTCAATCGGGCGGGTTCGGGTTGGGTTCATTTGGGTTGTGGGGTGGTCGGGTTGCGAGTTCATCGGGTTCGGGTTGATCGGGTTGCGGGTTGATCGGGTTACGGGTCACTTGGGTTACGGGTCCATCGGGTTGCGGGCCAATCGGGTTGCGGGCCAATCGGGTTACGGGCCAGTCGGGTGCGGGTTGGGCGGTTCGGGTTGCGGGTTTTACGGACTAGAACATCGCGTTACTTTTTAGTGATTACTAGTTAGTCGTAAATCGTAACTATATGAAGCTAGCACAATACTTGTAAAAAAAAAGGAATCACTACTCAAAGTAGGGAAACAAAATTTTGGGGAAACATTACAAAGGGGAATTATTGGCGGGTGGAGGGAATCAAATTTTTGGGCAGTAGTATTGGGGGAACCCAAAATTTGGGGAGAAAAGTTTAAAAATAGTTTTTTAATTTTTTAAAAACAAGTGAAATTGTTCATATAAATGTATAGAGAAATTGTTGGTTTAGCTAGTTAATTGTTTATATGATTTTTGTATTAAACTAAATTATAAAATTTAGAAAAATTGTTGTGAGTTCAATTGTAACTTTACTCGATAACATATAATTTGTACCGATTAATCACGGGGAGCCCCTTTACTAATACCAAATTTTGTCACACACAACATCCAAAAAATCTCATTTAGAGACGGGAAGTACACCTGTTTATACAGTATTTGCCGTGACAAAATCATTTCCAATGATCAGATGTCAAACATTAGTCACATTATTTGATTGGTTCACCCATGTCTATATATTAACAATTGATCACGATATTCTACTATAGCTAATTATCAAATCAGTAATCACAATATTTTGTCTATTAATATAAGTATGGAATTATAACATTAATATGCGCATGAAATTATAAGATTAGTGTCAATAAAACAAATATCAACACAATTGTTGCACGGTAAAAGAATTCCAATGCAATTCATGTTATAGTGGAAATCTCCCAAACAATTTGCATCTACCGATTTTATTCCATCCTCCATAATTTGAACACTGAAACATAGTTTAAACTGAATCAAATTAAATAAGGTATCAATTGTTGTACCAATCTGCGTGTCTCACATGATAAATAGCCTTCTACTCTAAACCAAAACGCTCTAGATGAGCTGCCACCAAACACTTCAAGATGTTTCCATTGATCATTAGTATTAGCAGCGCCAAGGAGTCTCAATGTTCATCAGCAGATTCCATACCGAGACTGCTATTCAATAAGTAGACACCTCTAAGACCACTGCACTATTAACAGAGATACAACTAAGTACATGCATAGCACAAGCATATGTAAATACCAATCTAGCTCTGACAGTGTCTCATTCCAGATCAGCTAGCAAAAATGCCTCCGTGAGTGCCTACAATGAAACATGCAGAACTTACAACAATGTGGGATAAAATAATGCTTCCAATAGCTAAAAGAGCTAGTTCTTTCTCATCTTTCAGAAACACTAGATCCGGCAGAGATATCCAGTGAGCTAGAGTCCAGGAATTCAGTTTGCTATTAATGGTCAGTTCCGGCAGAGATATCAACAAATCTCATCCGGCAAGAGCCACTTGTCAATTTAATATATAGTTAAGGAAACAGAGACAACACTTAATGCAGTGCATCCTAAACTTACAAGAGCCAATGAAGCAGGTTTCATTAGATCTCTTTGGAGGGTCCTTTTCTCAATCCCCAGCAGAGTTACTGCTCCATACCTGCAAAGCAACTAAGGGACAATCGTTCAGTATGTTTCAACCAGCCCCAGTTTTTGAATTCAACAACCAATCAAGCAAATAAGCACAAATTGAGCTTCCCAAGGTGTGAGAAATCCTGATAAAGAATCAAAAGCAAGTTCAATCTGAACAAGGTTGAATTCGGTTAAAACTGAAAAGTCCCCGATGTGTTTGATTTCAAACCGTAGAATCACCTCATATCCAAAATTTTAATCCAAAATTCACAATTGATGCATGGAATCAATGCTAAACCAACACAAACTTCATAAATATGAAGAAACGTAAGTAAGAATCTTGAAGTGAGAAGATTCTACTAAACAAAAGGTGAAAGAAGTAGGGCGGATAAGGACATGAATACATGATACCTCCTGAACTTGCCAGCTTCATGGTTTAGTTGACGCGTTGGATTGGTATTCGAATCTAGGATGGATGAACCGATAAGTGGAGGACGCTGATAGGGTGGGGGTGGGGGGTTTATGGGGGCTGGGAGTTCATGAAATGGGTGAAAGATGGGGGAAGAGATAGGGGTTTTTACATCAAATGAGGTAGGAATATTTGGACAATGAAGAGAAACCGACTGAGAAGAGGCGGAGGTGCTGTGCGGCGGCGGATTTGGCTCAATTTCTCACTGAAGAAGAACAGACGATTGAGAACACGAAAGAGAAGTTAGGGATTTATCTCTGTTTTAGTTTTTGTTGTAATAGAAAAGTGGCAAAGACAAAGTAATGGGGGAATACAAAAGTTTTGGAATAAAGGGTGGCGAAAATTTTCTCCGTTGGGGTGAGTTTGGAGCCAAACCAAATGGTTTTCCTTATACGAAAATTGTGGTAAAAATGGGGGGAAGGCCAAATTTTTGTTGAAAAAAAAGCGGGAAATTTTCTCTAGTCTTGGAGCCAAAACTAAAGGAGGATGGAAATTTGAGATTTCCCTCTTAGATTTTAGGAAACGTTTTTTTTAAAGGTAAAGTGCACATTGTTTACGGTAATTAACGGTGATTAACCATTAGTTATGGGAAATGAAACTTGAAAAATAGATCAACTAATTCCCGTGACTAAAATTATACCATTAATTATTGTATTTTTTCTAGTGACTGTTAGTGTACTTCTTAATACGACAAACATCCCCGTGAATAAATTACCGTGACTAGAGACCAATTTTTCTGTAGTGCTAGATACTATTATATTTGCGTCTATAAGATATATATATATATATATAGGCAGTTCTACGGTGCCCAGGGCAAAATCCGGGGTACGGGTAACCGGGGGCAAGGAAAATT